CACACACACACACACACACACACACACACACACACACACACACACACACAATCAGCTTTATGTTTGTCTGTTTTCCTGTTGTTGTCTGTTTCCCCCCCCCTGATTTTTTCTAAGTATTTTTTGTGTCCCCAACTGAGCACCCTTAAGTAGTGCCAAACAGTCGGTGGTTCCTCGTTTGGAGTGCCTACTGCACTCTTATGGGGGCCGCTCGGTTCGGGACGTCTGTGTTCCCTGTCGGTGATGACGGATGTTCAGCGGAGTGACTCCCTGGCTCAGTGGGTGGTGGGAACCAACAGTCTGCGGGGTTCACCCGTGATGTGAGTAGGTGATGTGTTTCTTTGCTCCGTGTTGGACATCCTTGTCTGCGCTTCGCCACTGCCTTGCTGCTCGTCCCACTTGCCTCGCAGGTCATTCTTGGCAAGCTGCTGTCTTCGTTGTGTGGTGTGGCCGAGTTGTGATGTTGCCTTGCGCTTCGCTGCTCTGCTGCCTCGTCGCCCTTCCGCTGGTTGTGCCTTCCGTGTCCTTCTTGGGGACAGTCTGCCTTCAACATGGGTCAAAGGGTGCATGACCCAAACCATCAATACGGGCATTCCGCAGATTGTCGAGGGTTCAGCCTCCTGATGAGTCGGTGCAATTCCGGCGAAACAATCTATCATCAATTTTTTTCAGTCTTTATTATTATATATTTTTTTTCAGATGCTGTGCTTGCCTTGTACTTGTTTGGCTTGTGGTCGTTTCCCTCAATTGCCTTGTGATCTTCGCCTGCTAATCCGTTTACCTTAAGCCTTTCACCTGATGTGCTTTCTCGCCATGTGTTGTTTGCCTGCCCGCCCGCCTCCCCCATTCCCTCCAGCCTATGTCTTTCAGGTCATTGTTTTTCGTCCTTTGGTCACCCTATGTTGTTTGCCTGCCTGCCCGCCCTCCAGCCTATGTCCTTTGCTTCATTGTCTTTCGTGCCTTGTTGTCTTGTGTCGCTTGTCTGCCTTTCTGTCTCATATTTCTTTTCTGCCTTTTGTATGTCAAAAGGACCTACAATGCGACCTTAGGGACTGTCTGTTTACTTGACTCACTCAGATGCGTTCTTTCCTCCTGGAGTGTTGTGGTGATATGGTGCATGGTCTTATACTGTGCAAAAGATGACTTATGTGTGTGTTTACACACACACACACACACACACACACACACACACACACACACACACACACACACACTCTTTCTCCCCGCACATTGGTTTCTATGCAAAATTGGAATGAATCTACCTGCATTCGTGGGAAATTCATGTTGATTTTGCACAGAACTAACGCGGTGGCAGGGGGGCCGGGGGAGGGGGGGGGGGAGAGAGAGAGAGAGAGAGAGAGAGAGAGAGAGAGAGGCCCTCACCACACCTCTCTCTAAATGTAAAAGAAACAAAAATGTGGTGGGTCTGGCCATGGAAATACAAGTCGACTGCACAAAGCAGCACACAACACACCGATACATCGCACAATGGATATGTCTAAGCTGTACATCACATTAGAATTCAACCAATCGTCAACTCCTAGGGATTACCCGATGGTCAACTCCATGAAAGCTCAAGTGATGTAGCGACTAACAGACGATGAGTCTGCGTCGCCAAAGCAACTAACGGGCCATATAGCGGACTTGTAGTCGCGCGAACGTCCAGGTGGACGGAAGGATCGAAACACTCACAAAACTACTACCTATTGTCTGTCTTCTCAATCGGCGACAGACCTACTATGGACAGCTAAAATCGAGCAAGTCTACTACTCACGACGCAAAAACAAACAAAGGTCGATTGGCGAGAACCAAATTCAAACACTCACAACTAGGTTGTACCTGATTACAAGACCCCTGCTGCCGCAAGCTAGGCCGACTGCAAAAAACGGACTGTCGGACCCACCCGCTCAGTGGCCTAGGTTCGAATCATGAACTTCCTGGCCTACTTGATACTCATGCATAGTGCTCATAGACTAGACTCAGTCGGGCAAGGGTCAACCCTGGCCCACATATTGTACTCACAGGGATTCTCCAATTCTAAGAAGGACTCGCTAACTAGCTATTGTTGCCTACAATACACTTACTAGCTCGACCAATCATGCAACTACGTCATCGCAGGTCCTCGCATGTCTCCCCCGTACTCGTACACTCCCACTAACTAACTCAACCAACATGCAACAAAGCATCCCAGATGCACCCATGTCCTATTACGCTTTCGTATACTCAGTTCATGATCCCACTATCCGTCATCAAGATTGCAAACATCTTCCAACAACCACCCTTGTCCTTAGTAAAATTCCTTAGAGCTCGACCGAACCAATCCTCCGGGTAACGTCGCTTTCGTAGCTCTATCGAGAGGAGAACCAACGTACTGAGAACCTCGATGCTCTCCATCGAATTCTGGTAAATTCGATGTAAAGCACTGATAATAACTGTCATCGTTGCCTTTTTATTCGTACATGAATACAAGTCCTGAAAGGCTTGAAAAGGCAGTTTGGCCCCAGATCTGATTTCCTCCTCATTCTTCAAAGACTGACCAGTGTGAAAAAATGGAAAGGAGTCGTCAATCGTCAACTTACACCCGAGGAAAATCCACTGGTTCTCACCCTCGTCCGTACGTTTCATGGTGAGTGCCTCATCATAGCACTTCTCAAAACTCTCAACAATCCCAAGCGCTTTCGCCTTCGATCCTTGCTTCCTTGTATTGTAGGCAACAAAAATCGAGGCGCCATCCACGAATCTCAACCCTCCGACCAATCTCTTCTGACTCCCTAATGTAAGCAAAAAATCCCATTCTGCCTTTGCACACATAAGGCATGTCAGTGGGGGGCTAGAGCTCTTCCCCATTGGAATCCCAAATATCTGCTGCAGCAGAACTCCCGACGCTCCGGTGAAACAAAACTCCAACTCAAAGAAAACAAAGTCAATGAGATACTGAAAATCAGTTTCACGAACCCCTCGACTTTCCCACAACGACTCAACCACGCACCACGCCCGACTTTTTTCACACACACTCCATCGTATCCACGTTGTGAAAACCACCAAACACACCATTTCACAACCTTCTTAATAGTGTCGTGGGGGAGCTTACTAAACATATCCTTAATATCATAAGATGCTCCCACGACTTTAACATTTTCACGCCCTTCGTCATCCTCTGCATGATCTTCCCGAGTCGCTCCTTCATTTGTGAGACGGACTGAAGATTGAAATGCCCTGACTTAGGTAGTGAAAAAAGGGAACAGTTGACCGCTTGTGACACCTTTCGACGGGCCAAAACTGAAGGCTCATCGAAGGTGGGGCAGATCGGCCTAAACTTTTGCGTATCCTTATGTTTCGTAAGCGAGTAGGCATGCCCTACCTTACCATCACGGTTCCACTTGCCATGCTCCCCCAACTGCCTTCGCTCATACTCCTTACCTGCTTCGCACAAAGTTGTTGCCGCCTCATCAACTTTACACTCCACATATTCATCGTTCGCCAGAAAAGTCGCCTGCATACCACGAGCATACAGCACAGGGCACAGAGCGAGTGTCTCCCTGGATTACGATCCAGGGTTGAAAGGACCAATCCTTTCAGACTCTCTTTTATGCCCATGACCACTTCGAGGCTGCATTCCTCACCGCGGTAGACCGGCTGAAAACTCATCTTCCCCATCTTAATCCCAGATCTATCTTCGAAGGAAACGAACGCTTCCCTCAGCTCTCCCAACAGATTCTCTTTTCTCTCTTTCTTCTCATATTTTGGTACGTTCTTAGCGTTCGTCACAAACCTTAGGATTCCTTCGCTAGAGATCATACATCTAGCCTTAGATCGACTTCACTTAGTGGAGAAACCCTTAATTGCACTATAATACTTTACCAGTGCACTAAGCCCCAGTTTTTTCAAGGAACTCCTTCGAGACGGATTCTTAAACATACCGACCATCTGATCCCGTAAGTACAAAACCGCGAGGGAGGCCTCATTAATCCTTCAAATAACTATCAGCCTCCCTTGCTCGAAAAAACGTTTGCACTTTCTCAGTGGTTTCGTTCCCTTCGCACACTTCACCATCGATTCCCCGAATAGTCTCCGAATAAGTCTCCAACCATCCGCCCATATGCTTCCTCCCTGACAATCGAGCCTAATCCCACCCTTCAATTTCTCCTCCCTCAATCTTCTAAGCAAACGCACGACTCCAACCGTTCCTTTCTCCTCCCCCTCTCTTCGAAACTCGACTATCCTACTGATCTCACGCTTTTCTTCCTTCCTCGTAATCGACCTCCCATTACCCGGATAACCATTCCGATTATTTCGTCGTTCCCGTCTACCTGGCCGCCTCTTCCCGTTTTTCTGGATCTTCTTACCTCCTATCCCTCGAGAGTTTAAACTCGGCGACCACAATTTTATCAGGGTACTCTCGACGGCTTTCAATTCCCTCCGATCATCGCTGAAGTACAAAGGTACGGCGACGTACTTTTGTGCGCCCACCTTCCCGAGCCAATTGTAGAGTGCCCATCTCCACTTGTCGCCCCCTCCTTTGCCATGACTGGAGTGCTCCCGCCATCGCGCCCATAGGCGCCTCTCGGTCATCCTGATGTAGACCTGTTTGAACCATGGCGAGATTAACACATACACACAGCTACCGGGGTCTTCCAGATCCAAACATCCCTTCGCCAATTCGTCGAGCCAGTACTTGGTGAATTTCTCTTCCCGTGGTAAGCCTCCCAACAGAGCTAACTTGATCGTAATCAGCTTCAGTAGTCGATCGTCTAGTCTATCCTTCCCTCCATCTTGCTGCCTACGTCTGCAGACCTCTGTTGCCAGATCACGCAAACCACAAACACTCCGTTGACTTCACTCCTCTTCCTCATCCGTCTCGCTTGACTCGTCCGTTGTATCCTCAGCCTTGATGCTCCTAGTCGTAGTAGTTGCGCCTCGAGTTTCCGTGAGTGGTGTAGATGACAGTGGTATGTGGGTTGCATCATATGTCGTAACCACTCGCCGATCACCAATCGCTTGATCGTCGCTTCTCGCTTCCCATAGTTCACTTTCTCCCTCTTGCAAACTTCCTTCAGTTAATTGATCGTCAAAGCATCGTAGAAATCGCCGCACCTCCTTCTCGTATCTTTCTTTCCCACCAGGCCCACAGGAAGTCGAGATATGCTTCAAGGTCAGGTCGATTTTCCGAGGCGTTCCTGAAAATTGGTTGGTCCTCCGGTTGCACGTTCTGCAATTCCTCGATCCCACGCCTTGATTCATCTGTTAAGGTCGTAAGGGTGCGCTTCTTTGGCGTTGTCATAGGCGGGTTGTTCCGGACCGCTACTTCTTTACCATGCTTCCGCTTGTCTTGGATTCTCAGCCCAACTGCTTTCTTCCGCAACAATAGGAATTCTTCGTCCGCATCAAAACTCTCCTGCAAAGTGAGTGTCCGTCTCAATCTTTCCTTCTTCTCCTCGATAGTCTCTCCGAACTCGTTAACCTTCTTCGTTGGTCTTACGACTGTCTCCCCCTGACTACGTCTATCCTCCTGTTCTCTCATCATCCTTGCGTCAATCAAGCTTAACAAACGAGCGTCTCTGTCTTCCTCATATTGTTGTTTCTCGCATAATCGTTCCAGTCGTTTCTTCTCTTTCTCCACACGAGTCCCTTCTTCAACTCTCTTACGTTCTTCCCGTGCTTCCTTCTCAATCCGTTCCCTCCTTTCCTCGACCAATTGTAGGAAATACTCCTTCATCAGTGCTTTAGTATCCTCCGGTATTGTCCGATCCCCGCTGCTCTCCACTAAGTGACTCCGCCGTGCACCACTGTCCTGCGACGATGTCCTCCATACGCGCCCCACCAGGTACGTATGGTGTGGGAACAAACGTTCGTCCCAATGCCCGAGACTGCCAATACTTAGCACAATCCCTCGCGTAGTGCCGGACTTCCCCGCACTTAAAGCACCCGCGACTGTCTGCCGAGGGTCTCGACGTCTCTCCCTTCGACCTTCGTTCCCCGGATCCATCGCTCATCCTGATTCCCTTGGTCGTCTCCCCGACTAGTCTCTACTCCAGCCGTCCGACAACCGTCAACTCCGATGGTCTTCACTCGCACCAAACAACAAGCCCAGTTGCAAACGTAAAGACGCCGCCCCCTCTTCTAGGTACAATCGCCTAGCAGGTTGTAACGCTAGCTCATGGAAACATAAGTCGACTGCACAAAGCAGCACACAGCATACCGACACATTGCACAATGGATAGGTCCAAGCATCACATTAGAATTCAACGAATCGTCAACTCCTAGGGATTGCCCGGTGGTCAACCCCATGAAAGCTCAAGTGACATAGCAACTAACAGACGATGAGTCTGCGTCGCCAAAGCAACTAACGGGCCGCATAGAGGACTCGTAGTCGCGTGAAAAGTCCAGGTGGACGGAAGGACCGAACAACAGAAAAATTCCCACGAGAAATGAAAGTTGAAAAAATATTCCATTAAAAAAAAAAAACTTACATGTTTATAAATTATCATTCCAATGTTCGTCAAATTCTAAAATTTTCAATTTAATTTGATAAGTTCCCATCTAAATATGAGTCTCCCCTTCCAACTACATTTATTTGTTCAAGATGAAATGAAAGTCTGGACGAGTTTATGAAATGTTTTAATTAGACTTTCATTCTACTCCAACAAATATCTTTTAATTTAGATTGGATTAACTTATTTATGATTGGAAATCCTTACTTAGAATGACATTCCAATTAAAATATTTCATGAACTCATCCAGAATTTCATTCCATCTCTAGCATGCAGTTCAAATAAGAAGGGATACCCCATTTTTGGAAGGAAAGTTTTCAAGTAAGACGAATTTTTTTTAAATTGGAATGACATTTTTTAAGATGGAATAAAAATTTAAAATTTAGAATATAATTTTACTCTAGAATTATTAATTAATTCTGTGAATTTTTTCTGTTGAAATACTCACAAAACTACTTCTTATTGTTTGTCTCCTCAACCGGCGGCAGACCTACTACGGACAATTAAAATCGAGCAAGTCTACTACTCACGACGCAAAAACAAACAAAGGCCGATTGGCGGGAACCAAATTCAAACACTCGCAACTAGGCCGACAGCAAAAAGCGGACCGTCGGACCCACCCGCTCAGTCGCCCAGGTTTGAATCATGAACGTCCTAGCCTACTTGATACTCATGCATAGTGCTCATAGACTAGACTCAGTCGGGCAAGGGTCATCCCTGGTCAACATATTGTACTCACAGGGATTCTCCCAATTCTAAAAAGGACTCGCTAACTAGCTACTGTTGCCTACAATACACTCACTAGCTCGACCAATCATGCAACCACGTCATCGCAGGTCCTCGCATGTCTCCCTCGTACTCGTACACTCCCACGACTTTAACATGTTCTAGTGGGAAGTTCACTCTCTTTTTGCACATTTTGACGGAGGTGACATTTTCGGTGGGGAAATGCTACTCATTTCACAACAGGGTTTCTACTTTAATTTTTCTAAAAAAGATGATGCGGATGCTGCGGTGTTTTCTTTTTTTTTTGTGTGAGGATCTGGTTGGTTGACTGGGCGACAATGACATCCTGCCAGGAGGTATTATGCTGTCAGTGTGACCAGGCGGCAACAGGTTCGTTTTGTGTGGAGAAACGCTGTTGGGTTGGACGACACGACTTTGTTATGTTCATATATTGAACCTGGTCCAATGCGTTACTCCTGGGATACCACGTGGTTTTGTTTTTTTTGGAGCAGGGCGCGCATCGGCTAGGGGGTGGACTAGGTGGGACTTGTTGTCAGGTGTACCAATGCAGTTTCGGGTCGTGGGACCGGATGGAACTGCTTTTTTTTTTTTTTTCTTGGAGGGGGGGGGCAGAGAGAAGTGTGGCAGGTGTGGTCCACAACTTTGACGCTTGCTTGGTGATGCGTGCGGTGGACCGTGCTGTTTTGGCACTCGTGAATAGGCTCGGACGCACGCAGCTGACTTCATTAGTTTTTTTGGAGCCACATGACGCAGTGTGCAGCCAGTGGGACTTGTTGGGACACAAGCGGGCGACGTAGTGAGCATTCAAGTTGACGACCCTTGCGGTTTTGACATTCAGGACCACCTTTTTTTTCTTTTGGAGTACACAGATTGTGCAGTTTTAATAGTTCGAGCTACCAGATGATGTGTGGGCGGTAGTGCGGGACTTGGTGGGACCGCCTAGGACCAGTTGGAGCAATGCGGGACACGTGGGAATTTTTTTCATGTGCGTGGTTTGCGGATCTCACACTTGGGACTACCGCATGTGGGACACCCTAGTGGGAGGTGGTTTGGGACATGCGGTTTGATTTGGGACAGTCCTTGGAGGTTGTGGGGCAATTGGGACTGTGTTGGGATTGTCTGGGGCGCTGGGACCACATAGGGCTTATTTTTTAAAACACCCTCTTTGAAGCTTATCTCACTTAAGTCCTTCGGTGGGCCCAAGCTTTACCTGTTTGGGTCTGTGGAAAAGGACACAGGCTACCATTTGATTAGGAGGTTACAAATGATCAAGTTTTGAGTCACCCGGTCTGGTTTTGGCAACGATTATCTTTCCACTTGGTTGGGATACTACTTGGTTTTCTTGAGTGGGCCAGTCTACACTCTTCTTCGATCACTCAAGGTCGGTCAGTTGAAGACTCAGATTTTCCTTCACACCTATGTGCACTTGCACCATGCGTGACTTTTTTTTCTCTTGAAAGTTCAAAGAGAAAAGGTAGAGTGAGGTTGTGAGAGTCAGGCATGTGGAAAGGTGGGGTCTAACTTGGGTATGAAACTCTATTGGATCCCTTTGAACTTGTTGTTTGTTTGATGTGCAAGTAGGTACGAGAATGCTTGCAAAAAAAATAATTAATTATGCCTACTTGGGATAATCAAAAGGATCATCTTTCATCTACCCCTTACATGCCTACAAGTCAAATGAACTCGTGTTTTGAAAAGGGTAATTCCATGAGCGTTGTAAAATGAATTTATGGCAATAAACAAGTGCCTCCATTAACTTTATTTCGTCTAAGCCACTTTTGCTCAAGAGGAAGGGATGAACGATTCCACTTGGAGTCGACTAGCTCCCCTCACTCTAGGAAACATCTGGGGCGGGGGTTCGTTGCTTCAGGAGTCGGCCCTGATATTGACGCAGAGTGAATCGTTTTTACAGGGTGTACTTTGTCGGTTCGGTGGAGATGGCCCTGTTTCTGAAATCCGAGTTTTGTGCTAGGGTGAGGAGGAGTACCACCCTAGACCACTTCCTAAAGGGTTGGATGCGCTACGACTACGAGGGGCGTCCACTCTCCCCTAATCACGAGTAGGAGGAGGTTAACTCAGTAAACCTTGAAAATGACTTCCTTAGGCACTACTCATACGGAAGACTGACGCCTTGAGAAACTCGGTCCAGTGGAATACTAGTTTTGAAGTGGACGCAAGTAGGCGTCGCTCTCGTCGATGGGGCTCGCGCTGAAAGAAGTACGGACCCAGGATAGATAATGAGGTGGCAACATTCCTTGGGAAAAGACAGCGACTGTGACAATGTTTGAGTGTCATTATGATGAAGATGGGTACTTCATCATTCAAGGAACATAATGAGTAATTATTATGTAGGAGGATAAAGTGGTCAACAAACCCCTGGTTGATCCTTGCTGCAGGCGAGCTATACGGGTTGTCGAAGAATGGCTGAACCAAGGGTTCGAATTTAGGTTGGAAGTCAAATCTTTCATCGACGTGTATGGCAGAAGTGAAATTTGCTTGTAGTCAGGGTTTGAAAGATGCATCGACGGACCTACCTATATATAAGGCATCAGGGTTCCGACGTTGTCAATTCGCTCGTGTCCCTCACTTTTAAGAATGAAACTTAGATCTCTTTGGTAACATAGGGGTGAAAAATAATGATTTTGGTAGACCATCTCATCTAGTCAATAACTCATTCCTGGTTGACTCTCATATTGGCATGGCGTTCTCCCAAACACGATCTGAACCGATCTCGTGCAAATGAATTTGATACGTATTAATTATGTTGATTGCGTGTCCTCCCGACAATATTTGATTGTCGGTGATATGGACACGCAATTGTTCCAAGACTATCTCTCGGTGAGAATATGTTTTTTTATCGATTCTGACCAATCTATTTTTAAATTGTGAAGTTATTGTGGTAATCTTCTTTTGGATTGTATCCAGAGGGCTAGGATTGTTTGTGGGTTTCTTGCTTGGTTGAGACTGTCCTAGTCGACCGACGTGCTCTTCGTACTCAGGAGATAAGCGCTTTAGAGAACAGATGATGTCCGAGTTCAGACGGCGTTTTAACCAAGTATACCTACACTGCAGCGAAACGAGAAAACACCCTCGATTGATCCACCTCTGCAATTGCATATAAAAACTTTCGTATGTGGGTCAGCGAAACGAGCAAACACCCTCAATTGATCCACCTCTGCAATTGCATATAAAAAATTTCGTATGTGGGTCAGTAACTTGGTAAGGATACGCCCTTAACGGTGGTGACAACCCCTTAGGGGGGGTAAGTTGTGCTTTGTGGGAACCTATTTTGTCATAGGGGACCACGAGAAGTACAGTTGGCGCACCCGACTACACTGACGAGGGAATGACGTGACCACGTCCGTTCTGCGCGGATTGTGGGACTATCCTTGCGTCGTTTCCAAGTTCTTTCAAGTTTACTTTAAACTCTTGCGTGACGTGACCGGGAGGACCCTCGCCTTTGTAGAAAGGTGGGAACTAATGTGCTCGACATCGTTACCCACCTTCTTTGCGAAGTCCACCCTCACCCCACATCCGACTGCCCCCAACCCTCCTCCCCCCTTAACATCCTTCTCTGTTGTGTAGCATGGAGGCAGTGCAATCACATGGAGTTGTAGTGCATCATTTTGGGAATCCTTATCACTGTTGATGACTATGAGTCTCTCTGTGATGAGACCCTTCACACTATTCATACCCTTTACGTTGATTACCTTACCGCTCTCCCTCGCCCAAACCATCGTTTCCCCCGTGTTCACCACATCGTCCACTTTGTTAA